AACCGTGGACGTGGTAGAAGGAGCAGAGGTCGGTCGTATGGCTCTACACATTCCGTAAAAGAGTCCTCAACACCGGCCCCGACGTGTCAAATTTGTCTCAAGAAGGGGCACACGGCGAATGACTGCTGGCACCGGATGAATGCTCAATTCGTTCCCAAATAGCAAAAATCGAACAAAGCTCTGATGGCCGAACCATCCTCTAATTACACAGATTGGTATCTAGACTCGGCGCGTCTTCGCACTTGATAAAATCTTTGAACAACTTATCCATCTCAAGTCCTTACAATGGGACTGACGGTATCACTATCGGTGACGGGAGCTCGGTAAGCATAGCGAATTCTGGCAAAGGCTTGCTACCGACTCCCTCTCGTAAGCTCAACTTATCTAAAATTTTTCATTCTCCTTCAATTCATTACAATTTACTTTCTATTTTGCAATTAACGAAGGACAATAATATAGCTATTATATTTAATCCGTCTGGTTTTGTGTTTAAGGACCTGACGACGCATCAAGTCATTTTTCAAGGGCCTTGCTGTGAAGGGCTGTACCCAATTCGGACTCCGGCAACTGTCAAGAATCATGCTCTTACTACAATCCGTAATGTATCTAGTGTTTGGCATAACAGGATGGGCCATCCCAGCAAGAGAACTCTTCATCTCATTGCTTCTTCTCAACCCCACTTGCATATAGATTCAAATTTACCTAACTGTCATTCTTGTAATGATGCTAAGAATCATAAATTGGTTTTTGAATCTTCAAAGAATAGATATACTTTACCTCTTGAATTGCTTCATTCTGACGTGTGGGGTCCTGCACGAGTAATATCTAATTCTGGTTATTGTTACCATGTTTTGTTTATTGACGACTGTACGCGTTTTACCTGGCTGTTTCCCATGAAGCACAAGTCAGAAGTGCCTTACATTTTCAGCACATTCAAACTATACATAGAAAATTACACGTCTCATAAAATTAAATGTATTCGAACAGATGGAGGTGACGAATACCTCAGCCACAACTTCACTCAGTTGCTTCAAAACCATGGGATCTCTCATCAGATCTCTTGCCCATACACGCTTGAACAAAATGGCGTGGCGGAACGCAAGCATAGGCACCTTATAGAGACAACTAGAACGCTTCTATACACTGCATCTGTCCCAATGTCCTATTGGCCTGATGCTGTTTTAACGGCTACGTATCTTGTGAATAGAATGCCGTCTCCAAATACACATAATGTATCTCCATATGAACTTCTTCATCACAGGACTCCTGAATATACGATCATCTCCGAACGTTCGGCTGCGCCTGTTTCCCTCTCACACCCGCTCCCCTTCGTCATAAACGTCAGCCGAAATCGCGGCTGTGTGTGTTCTTGGGATACTCAGATCAATACAAAGACTATAAGTGCTTAGACACAGTTACTCACAAAATAATTTTATCTAGACATGTTAAATTTGATGAAACTTACTTTCCTTTTCTCCATACCAAGACAGATCAGGCGCCAGAACTACCTGCACAACTATTATCAAAATTCTTGACACCAATGTCCGTGGTCCAGCATACTAATGCCTCTACTCATACAATGTCTGGATCGAATACAACTCAAATTCGGAAGTACCGGCACTTCCTCCGTCAGATCAACCTCCCATGGCTAACTCTCAGTCTTCGCCCAACCCTTCCGAATCTTCTCAGGCTCAGCACACAAATCATCCTATGTTAACCAGATATAAGACGGGATCTCTTAAGCCTACAACCCGCCTTAACCTACTACATCAAAAGACTACTCCAGAGTGCCCTTCGACTCCGTCCACTTACACTGAAGCCAGCAAATACTTGGAATGGCGCAAAGAAATGGCAACTGAATTTCTTGCACTTCAGCTCCAAGGTACCTGGAGTCTTGTTCTGAGACCATCAAATTCAACAATCCTGGGTTGTAAGTGGACATACCGCACCAAACTTCACTCCGATAGATCCATATCCAAATACAAAGCTCGCCTAGTTGTTCAAGGTAATCATCAGGAGTATGGACTGGAATACACAGAGACGTTCAGTCCAGTTGCAAAACTACCTACGATCAGAATTCTTCTAGCGGTAGCGCTGCAAAATAATTGGCCAGTTCAACAGATGGATGTCGCCAATGCATTTCTGCATGGCTCACTCTCGGAAACGGTATATATGCTACAACCACAAGGATTTGAGGATACCAACAATCCCGACCACGTATGTCTTCTCAACAAAGTCATCTATGGTCTCACACAAGCCCCAAGACAATGGTATAACACGTTCACTTCATTTCTTGTCTCCATTGGGTTTGTTCATAGTAATTATGATCCATCTTTACTAATATTTCGGAAATCACACATTACTATATTTTTACTTGTGTATGTGGATGACATTCTTATCACTGGTAACAACACTGATGAAATTAGAAAAATCATTGATAAGCTCAATGGGAAATTTGCTATGAAACAGTTAGGTGAAGCAAATTCCTTTCTAGGAATTCAAATCACTAAAACAGCCAATGCATATTTTCTGTCTCAAGCCGTGTATGAAAATTCCATCTGCAGATTGCTCAGCTGTCCAAGTGTAATCCCATGGCAAATCCAACGTGCACCAAGTTACCGCACGACATTACTCCGGATAAAATTCTCAACGATCCGACTACATATCGGAAGATAATAGGTTCCCTTCAGTACCTGTGTCTAACACGTCCGGACATTGCATATAGCGTTAATCTCCTCTCTCAACACATGCATCAACCGCTGCCAGAGCATGCCTATCTCTTAAAACGATTGCTACGCTACATCAAAGGTACAACTGACTATGGTATTCTTATAACAAAATCTAACTTATCGCTTATGTCTTTTTCAGATGCCGATTGGGCAAGTGATCCCATCTCAAGGAAATCAACATCTGGCTTCTGCTCGTTCTTAGGAGATACATTAATCTCATGGATGGTCAAAAAGCAAACCATTGTCGCTCGGTCTTCTACTGAATCAGAGTACCGGTCGCTTGCTGCACTCACGACGGACATCGTGTGGCTTCGTCGTCTTCTCGTAGATTTTGGCATCCAACAAGACACGCCAACCGACATTTTTTGTGACAACACTTCAGCTATAGCCCTGGCTAACAATCTCGTGTTTCACGCTAGAACGAAACACATAGAAATAGATCACCGGTTTGTCCGGGATCATATTCAACAACATCACATTCGGATTCTCCCCATTAGCACTATTGATCAGACCGCAGACATTCTAACCAAATCATTATCCACCCCGCGGTTCCAACTACTTCGCAACAAACTGACTGTCTCCAAAGTACCTTCAGTTTGCGGGGGAGTATTAGATCAATAAACTAAATATATACAATTACTATATATGTGTCCAGATATGTAGCTCTTTATGTAACAGCTTTTGTAACTCTCTATATATACTTGGCTTGTACTGTTCCGGGAGATAATAATAAGACACTATTTCTTCTTCTAAGTATCGTCCCTGTCATCTGTTCCTGAGCCTTACTCTTCTTGATTCACTGAATCTTGAAGTTCTACAATAAGGATACTCAAAAGAAGAAGTTCAAAATGAAGGTAACAAAAGAAATGAAACAACGGATGAATCTGCATCATCATAATAGCCCAAAAATTATAGTTATTAATATTTATCAAGGAATGGAATCCTTACAACCTATGGGGTCATAAAGGAATAAAAGGTCAAGGGAATGAAGAATGAACAAAATGCTTTGTTATCTTGAGTTGTCATGGATTTAGAGTTCATTTAGGATGGCTTTTTTAGTGCTTTCTAAAATAATATTTTAGTTAAAAATTTCTTGAATTTTAATTTTTTGTACTAAAAAGCTGTTTATGAAAGCAACGAGAAAGCTATCCCAAACGAAGCCTTAGCCTAATTACTCATATGGAGAAAACTTGAGGATCCATATAAATTATTTTTGGGTTATATCATCCAAGAGGACCTTGCGAACCTAGAGGATAAAGGGAAGCAAAGAATGTTGTCCGATTCTAAAAAACTTTTGAGGATAGTCCCAATAAAAACATCGGTACTATTTCATCTAAAGTCATTATAACCATTGTCTACTAGGTCAAATAATTGTAATATGAGAATCTCCTTATTAATAATCATGAGTTGCATCATCTAATGATATTTAATAAACTTTAAAAATAGGAAAATAGGAGGATCAAACTTAGGATTAATGGGGCATACCTCAAAGCTAGATGAGAAAGCATCTTAAACTTGACTCATCATAGTGTCACATTATCGTACTTGTCATGATTGAGAATATTAAGTCAAATGTTTATTCATCATATATTTTGAAACATAGATAAGATACATTCATTTATTTTAAAAATATGTATCCATAATAGTGGTCATTCAAATGTATTTCAACTTAGTTTTAAAATGGGATTCATGTTAACATCTTCATGTATTATCTCTCAATAAATTGCATTCTATAATTGAATACTCGTGTATTATCTCTTAAAGGAAAACGATTATGTTGGGATATTTTGATTAGGTATGCAACCGAATCAAGCCAACTTGCGAGTCGGATCGGACTCAACTCATTAAAGAGCTCTCAAGTAGATCTCGAGCAGGATTTCAAGCTCGTTGGGCTTAATGAGCTCGAGTTCAAATAGTCGTTTGCTCGACGAGTAACAAAGTTGAGCGGCTATAGGAAAGAGGAAAGACAGGGGTGAATCGGAGCTCGTACCGCGTGTGAACCATGGAGGGCTGGGAATTGGAGCTTCTGTGGGTGCGAATCGCATTCGCGACAAAAGAGGCAGAACAACGGGGGTGAATCATAAGCGGGCGCATGTGTACCGCGTTTGTGAATCGTGACGGAAGAGGCAGGCGCCTGCGAACAACATTTGTGGTGGAAGAGATCCGCTTGACCAGCCTAAATTCTGTGGCAAGTCCAGCTCGAGCTCGACTCAAGTTCAAACTTGAGATTTGGCTCATTCATGGAGACTCAAACAACTCCAACCAATTTTAAATTACAGCAATTATCGAACGATTTTAGGTTTTTTAAACGACTCGAATGCCCAACGCATTAAATTAGCCGTTGGCTAAATGCGCGGTTTGCTTTCTCTTATCATGCTCATTCACAAACCCATACAACCCCGAAATATATGTGCTCTCGTCACAAGATTTCACCTTTACTGCTCTCCCGCTTCCCCACTCTTCTGCCTCCCTCCGCATTCCGTCCATCTTCTCTCCGCCGAGGTTCCCGACCTCCATTCCCTCCTTCTCCTTCACGCCGGAACCATCACCTCCGGTCACTCATCCAACCCATTCCTCGCCGCCAAGCTTATTTCTCTCTACGCCTCCCTTCACCGCCCAGACTTAGCTACGGGCGTTTTCTCCTCAGCCGTCGCACAAAATCTCAAAGATACATTCCTCTGGAATTCCATCATCAAAACGCACTTCTCTAATGCTGACTTCACTATTTCTCTTCTTTACTTTCGCCAAATGCTCGCAGCCGGCGTGCCTCCTGATCAATTCACAGTACCCATGATCGTCTCAGCATCCGCGGAGCTTCTCTTGCTTGCTCTTGGGTCATGCATTCATGGAGCTTCTATTAAAAATGGGATTTTGAATGGTAAATGTAGTGGTGTTGGATCGTCCTTGATTTTCATGTACTCGAAGTGTGGGATAATTGGTGATGCCTTTAAAGCGTTCGATGAAATTTCCGAAAGAGATGTTGTTGCTTGGACAGCGCTAATCATAGGTTGTGTGAGGAATGGACAGAGCAAACTTGGTTTACTTTGTCTTGCCGAAATGCATCGTGTTGGCAAAGATGGAGGGACAAAGCCCAATTCCCGCACCTTGGATGGTGGATTGCAGGCCTGTGCTAATCTTGGAGCATTGCATGAAGGAATGTGTCTTCATGGATTTCTCTTAAAAACTGGATCTGGGTGGTCTGCTTCTGTGAGATCATCTCTGCTTTCCATGTATGCTAAGTGTGAAAGCTTTGAGGAAACTGTTCTTGCATTTGATGAATTGTCTGAAAAAGATACTGTTTCGTGGACTGAGGTTTTAGCTGTTTATGCTAAGAAAGGCCTTTTAATTGAGTGCTTAAAGCTTTTCCTAGCGATGATAGATTCAGGAGTTGAACCTGATGGTGTTTCCATCAGTTGCATGCTTTTGGGATTCACCAATAGTTGCTGTATTCATGGAGGGAAGGCCTTCCATGCAATTTTGCTGAGGAAAGACTTTGAATTCAGTAAACCAGTAATTAGTTCCCTGCTGATGATGTACTGTAAGCTTGGGCAACTGGATGCTGCAGAAACTTTTTTTGGTTGCATTCACCTGCAGAGTGCAGATCCCTGGAACTTAATGATTTGCGAATATGAGAAGACTGGAATGGACATAAAATGTTTGGACTTGTTTAGAGAAATGCAGTTTAATGGCCTAGGAGCCAATGTTGATCAAAATACAGTGGTACATGTTTTCTCCTCATGTTCAAAACTAAATGCTTTGCAGTTAGGCCAGTCTCTACATTGCTACACAATAAAGAACTTTCTTGATGATGAGGACTACATTTCCAATTCATTGGTGTGTATGTATGGTAAATGTGGAAAGCTAACCCTTGCAAGGAGGGTCTTTCATAATACAAAGAGAAATGTTATTACCTGGAATTCTCTTATCTCAGCTTATTCTCATCTTGGTAAGTCTAGTGATGCTTTAAGCATTTTTAATCAAATGCTTTTGGAAGGTGTGAAACCAAATTCTTCAACATTATTAAGCGTTCTTTCAGCATGCTCGCATATGGCTGCTCTTGACTTGGGAAAGTGGGTGCATGGTTCCATAAAGGAAATGGGTTTGGAGTCTGATGTAAATCTATGCACAGCCTTGATTGATATGTATGCCAAGTGTGGACATCTCAAAACTTCAAGAGCACTCTTTGACTCTATGCCTGAAAGGGATGTCATTTCTTGGAATGCGATGATTTCAGCTTATGGTATCCATGGGGATGCCAAGAAGGCGTTAGAGGTTTTCCGAGAAATGGAGATGTCAGGCATCAAGCCAAATACAGTCACATTCCTCGCGGCTCTTTCTGCTTGTTGCCATGTAGGATTGGTTGAAGAGGCAAGGAGACTTTTCCTCAGAATGAAAGATCGTGGCATTAGTCCCACTTTAAAGCACTATACATGTATGGTTGATGTCCTTGCTCGGTCTGGTAACCTATTGGAGGCTGAAGCTATGATTCTCTCCATGCCTATCCAGCCTGATGGAGGAATCTGGGGAGCTTTGCTTGGTGCTTGTCACATTCACAGTAATGTTGAAATGGGAGAGTGTATCTCAAAGAGAGCATTTGAATCTGATCCAGAAAATGATGGGTATTACATTCTTGTGTCTAATATGTTTGGAAGTGATGGAAGATGGGAAGAGGTGGAAAAGCTCAGGAGTTTCATGAAGAGCAGGGGTGTTACAAAGAGAGCTGGTTGGAGCTCGGTAGAGCTTGGTGGGGGAATTCATGTTTTTACCGTTGGAGATAAATCACATCCACAGTCTAAGGATGTTCTTGTGACTATAGAGACTTTCCATAGGCACTTTGAGGAATGTTCTATAGAGTATACAGTGGAAGAATATGCATCTATTTTGTGAAATAGTAAGAAAGCTATTACTTGCTAATACATACTATTGTTTTGTTTCTAGTTTAGAAGAGTTGCTTGGTTTGGAAGGTGATGTGCCTATTGTTTAGCTAAAGTTTGTATAAACCAAAATAACTCTTCTAACATGCTTATAGTTGATTGGTTCTTAAGTCACGCCTACATTGGCATTCTAATATGTAAACCTTTTCAAATTGGCAGAGGGTAAAAGCTCCTAGGAGGCTCAACTATCTTTTGCATGGAGAAGATAGACTATAAAATTCAAAAGCCCGCGGTCACGCAAGTCCGCCCTCGCTTAGTACGGCAGACCGCTCCCCACGCAACCCTGGCATGTGGGTCTAATGATCCGTGCCGCGTGCCAAGCGCAACGCACCATGTCTGACTTTCTCTGCTTGGTCACCCCACACTCTGCGTGGCAACCTGTGCTCCACCCTCGCTTTGCATGCATACGTCAGCACCTTCAGCCTGCTCGTGCGATCTCCCATGTGAATGGCTGCATGGTCGTCTGCGCAAACACATGTTTGTGTCTCCCGACCCATGTACCTCCAATCTAGCCCACTTGCCTCCGCCAAAACCCGCACCAGACATCTTGTTCGCCTCACGCAAACAAACCCACATGAACACGCTCGTTGGGGGCACCGACGACGACTTCCTCCTCTCTCTCTTTGACAAGAACCGTTCTCCACCTCGAGATCGCCTCAACAAGGCTCCGATACCACTTGTTATGTTTCTTGCATGAGGAAGAAGAACACTTTCTTTAGCTTCTTGGAAGAGAGAATGGGAAGGGAAGAGCTGCAGGAATTTCTTATTCCTTTATTCAATAGGCCTAATGGCTTAGTGCAAGAGGGGCTCTTTTTACATCAGCCTACAATGCATATCTATAGGCATTTACACATGATGCGGTGTCTATGCGGATCATGCTAGTCTAAAATCAGACCAATACATTACGAAGCTCGTGTTCAACTTATTCATGAAATAAACAAGTAGATATCAAGCAGTTATTTTAAAGTCACTTTTTTGTTGAGTTGAATACAATTAGAGCCTTATTCGTTTTTGTCTGACTAGTTATTTAATTGATTAATAGAATGATTATATTGTGTTTAGATCATTATTTATTTATTCATTTTTATATGTTTGAAATCAATTTTAGCTTTGCTTGAACACAACCACGATGTTCATGAATAAATTTAAACAAGAACTGGTTTTGAATAGATGGCAATTTGATATAAGAATACAACAAACTCATTCAAAGTGGACTCATTTTGTATATGTATAAATGTCTTCACAAATATCGTAATAGGTAATCGCCATATCATGAAGAAGGCATTTGTCTATATGAGGAGAATTCTTAGGTACTCGTTTGAATTAACCAAATAGTCGGCCTTGAATTGGGCGAGTCAGGAATAAAGCATCAGGCAGATCAATTATCACTCGTTGTTATCTTAGTCATTAACTCTCAGTATGCAAGACCATTGACCCTCACCTGATCTCGGCTAAAAGAAGGCTCTCATCCTAGAGGGTATTTTGCTCATCATTGCATTAGACCCCAGTTTTTTCAACACATGTCTACCCATTTCACTACGGTGATCTTTGACTTAGAGCGAGGCAACAAGATCCCGCCGGTCCGCCACTACAGAATTCATCCAACCTGGCATAAACTCACAACACACCACAACTCATCCTTTATTCCACTCAACATTACTATAATCGCCCGAAGATGAGTCTTTCATCCTAGTTCTCCCACTAATCAGATGACGACACATGTGTGTACCATAGTGTAGTGTTGTATTTTTTATAATATTTTTTTCATGTAGCCCTTTCTATAGCCTGAGCTATATAAATAAGAGGCAATGGGCACTATTCAAGGCACCAAAAAAAAAATCAAAAGAGGTCTTTCGAATTAGTATGAAATTGTTTACTTATCAGAGACCTTTTAGTCCTCCTCTACACTTCTTCCTCTATTCATTCCATTCTCACTTACAGGTTCATGTTTTCCTTATGTAGACATATTAGTAAAGTCAGGTATCCTCCATAAATAAATGCAGATCCAACCCATTTACACTCTAATAAACTTTTTTGGACAAATTGAGTGCTCAGATTTGTTCCACTAAAAATTCTTAGATTTGTTTTAACTAATTCATAACGCATTTGAGCACAGTAAAAATTGTTATCATATAAGGAAATCATCACACTAAAAAGAAAAGAGAAAAAATATTAGGTCCTCCCACCTGACGTAGAGCTACGTCCTCCCACCGCCAAAAACTCGGTTTTTGCTTGGTATTGCTAGGTATTATTTGGTAATAACGAGGAATATCATCATGTGAAGACCAATACCGAGTTATACCTAGCAATACCGAGTTATACAAAAACATACCGAGTTTTTTCTAGGAAAGACTAGGTATTTTTTTGTATTGCTCGGTATTGCTCGGTATAGCTCGGTATAATTCGGTATTGGTCTTCACATGATGATATTCCTCGTTATTGTTTGGTATTGCTCTGTATTTGCTTGGTATTTCTCGTTTTTTAGCGCGATTTTGACGGTGGGAGGACGTAGCTCAACATCAGGTGGGAGGACCTAATAATTTTTCCTCTTCATGTGGGTCTCAACGCCTTTGTCTCTAACTTTTTAGGTTCTATGTTGGTTGTCTGCTGCCACATGCAATATCACTCAGATTATTATTTTTTAAAATAATTTTTTTATATAAAATTTTAAATTTTTATGTTAAAAAATTATTTTAAAAAATAATAAAAAAGTAATTTCAAACGGAGCCTAAAACTTCATAAAATTTAAGAGTTTCTGAGCATCAGTAATAGCAAAATTTGATCTGTTGGAAGATATTTTTTGAAATGCTACATAAATTATATGCATACGGAGATATTGAAATGCAACATATATAGAACAATTGGGAGGTTCCCCAAATAAACCAAATGAGAGGTACATATAATAAATAATATTGAAAGCGAGTGCAGGAATTCTGAATTAATATTTCACTTACATAAATGATAAATCAGTACACTTTCACTCCTTAGTTATATGTCGCATGCCCTCCTTCAAGCATTTATGAGAATCACGTGAATGTACGCAAAGGCTTTCATGAACTCCTTTGCAAGTCATACAAAGATAGTGAAAGGAGTGGTCCAACTTGCTCGCAGGCAGAGGCTGATTTAAGAGATTAGAGCTATCTCCAACTGAACTTCAAATTTCTGTTTGGTGTCGTAATCTCCAATCAAATAACAAAAGATATGTCATTCTCTCATTCGTAATCAGTGCGATATCAATATAGGCATTGCACTATTCACAAACTCATTTTTGACGGAAACAGAGAAAACATATGGGAGAAAGGCTAGCGCGTGTAATTGAGAAAGAACATACATGAAATATTTTTTTTTGTGTGTTAAGAAATAGAGTTTGATTGGAAATGAATTACTGCATTTTGAAGTATTATTGCATTTTAGAGTGAAAAATAAGTTTTTTGGTTGGAGATGATCTTATTAATATTAAAGAATGAAAGTAATGGAAAAATACTTCTCATATTATTTATGGATGAATTCATATAAAATGAAATGGTAGCAACACGAAAAACAGGAAAACAATACAACAGTAACTTCAAAATAAGAGTATATTCATTGGTTTCTTCTCCAACATACAACTTAGATTTCGTATGAGACGGTTTTTTTACTTCTTCTTAAAATGGAGTTCTAGTACAAAAATTCTAGAACTTCCTTTTAAGAAGCAGTTATATCATATAACTAAGGCCTCGTTTGATTCTCCGAGTCTATTTTCTTGTTTTTAATAAAGCTTTCAGAAAGACAAATGGAGGAAAAATTTCTTCTTAAATCGGCAGAAATACGGAGGTTCACCGAAAATTATTTTGAAGAATCGGTGTTACCAAACAGCAAAATAATCCTTTTTTCGTCTATTCAAACCGCATACAGAGAAATTACGGAGAAACAAACGAGGCCTAAGTATATTGTAATAAGATAAAAGGTAGCAAAGATGCATTAGAGAATGTGCTGTAACAGTAAGGTAATAAAAGGCAAAATGCATATCCTAATTAGGGGTGTCAATTTCGGGTCACGGGTCGGGTTCGTGTCGAACCCGAACTGACCCGGGTGGAAAACGGGTCGACCCTAACCCGACCCGAGTAGAGAAACGGGTCGAAAATCCAAACCCGGACACCACCCGACCCGGCGGGTTGCCGGGTTGACCCGACCCGACCCGCGCGGCATGGAACTCAGCATCGGGTGACGACGGCACCGCGGCAGCACGCGGCGGCGCGAG